TAAAGCTTGTCACTATGAGTGATTATGTGTATTTTTTTACATTTTTTTACACTTCTACAATAATTATTATTAATTTTATTAATTTTTCCCTCAAATCAAAAACATTATTTATGAGGGTTTGGAGGATTTTAAAAATCTAAACGATAATATAAGTGTAACCATTATCTACTCGTGGAGAAATAATGATGAATCATGAGTGTTTATATATTTTTTCACATTTTTCATACTTGTATGTATGTCTTCTTAGTTCTTACCTATATAAATATTATACTAATTTATTTTAATTTTGGACAACAACATGTTAAGTAAAATTTATCCAGTAATGATAATAAAGAACTCTCATAATAAAAATAAATAATGACTAAAACTTTTTTTTTTTCTAACTTATATAGAATAAGAATACAAAACTATATAGTTAATATAGAATATATTGTATATATTTATATGGCTATTGTATTTTATAATAAATCTTTTAGTAATTAAACTTTAAAATTACCAAATAATTTTTTTCTTAACAATAGAAACGAGTTACCCACGTGTTACCCGTGTGTATACCCGTTATTAATAGGTTCTTAACGAATCACCTGATAATGACCTGATTAGTTATTGTGTTGACTCGAAATCCATTATTTTCATGTCGTTTTCATGTCGTGTCAGAAACTACCGGGTCAAGGACCCCAGCACTACAGCAGTAAGCTGAACACATTTAGGAAGCATTAAGCAATAAGCAATGCAATTCAGTTCAGTTCAAGCATGGCAACGTGTTTATATATATCTCTCTCTCTCTCTCTCTCTCTCTCACTAAGGTCTATATATGCAAGTACAAGCTCTCTCTCTCTCTCTCTCTCTCTCTCTCTAAGGTCTATATATGCAAGTACAAGCTTTCTCTCACTTGGCATATATGTGCTCTTGTCCCACTTGTTCTTTACGTATACACTCACTAACTCATTTTTTGATCGGTTAATGCTAAGGAAATCAACTATTTAAATTAAATTTTATAAATTATATGGCATGATTGTTGATGATTAGATTATTACTTAAGTGTTGATTAACGTGCTTATTTCCTATTGGTGACACATCACATGATTTGTAAATTTGGTTTAAAAAATTAGTCTACCTTAGCATTTCTCTGATTGATTTGGTGCTGCATCATTGCTTAAGCTAGCTGTTTCCTTTCACATTTCTAATGTCGAAGTGTTAGGATCAGTCACAAACGTAGTATGTGTATGTGCGATTGCTCCCCGTTCATATTTTTTGAATCTCATAACTAAGAATGATTAGGATCAAGTTGGAATAGGATTCTCTCCCTCCTATTTTCATCCCCCCTCACATTTTACTTTTTGTCTCTATAAAAAAAAAACAATATAAGATGTTGACAAGGTTTAATCGTAGTCGTTCAAATAGAAGGGAAGGGGAGAGAGATTTGGAGGGGAGAGAATCCTTCTCCGATCAAGTCATGCACATGTGCGACTAATCGTGTCATATGCCTTGACATGTTTGATGACACATCTCCATCACATACATACCAATAATACATTACAAGCATCTTTTGTAAGGTGACAACATATCATGGAAAATACTTGTAGTATTAAGTATTGTATATATATTTGCAAGGGTGTGTTGATGGAAGCAGGATTTGGTAGAATCCCACCATCAAATATCATGTGTTTGTTTTGTTTATGTTACCAAATGGAGAAGCAAAGGCAGCTTTATTCTCGTTTTGTCTTTGTTTGTTACCAGTGTAGTTACCATTTCCCTTTCCCATCTACGAATTTGGGTGACTTCTTTGATTCAAAATTTATCATCATCTGTTACGTATTAACTACTTCTAACCAGGTGCATGTGAGCTTTGATATAAAAATAGCAGTTTCCTTTTTATTCTTGTATTACTGATAAATGCATAGACCCACACACGCACACATATATAAACACTATTCAAAACAGTAAATTTGATTTTTGACTGGTAGACCACCTTAATTTGACCGTTGCTTTTAAATAGAGTAACATATCCATTTACGCATATAAAATAAATAAGAGAGAGAGAGAGAGAGAGAGAGAGAGAGAGAGAGTTGCAAATTAACACGAGGACATGGGAACCTATATTAGGATCTAAACCACCATCGTTAAGGACTCTTTTAGGGCTATAACGGAATTTAAGAATAAATATGAACAAATATTGTCTTCAGTGTGAGACTTCTTACAGTATAATTCTTAAATTTGATGTTTATATAACCGTAAGAAAAAAGAACTAAAAACAAAACAAGGGCGTTTCTAAGGTGTGCACCTTGCGTGCGGACGAGAACCTAACAGCTTTAAGCTGACAAGCTCAAGCATAGAACCGGATATTTGAGATCTAATCTATTTCATACTATTTTTTTGTTCACTAGGTGTGTTCTTCTTGGAGAGAGAGGGAGAGTTGAGGGTTTATTCACCCCTCAATGAGGGAAGGAGAGGCAGAGAGGGAGTTGGTGGAGCTGGTATAAGGAGTCAAATTGAGGTGGATTGAAGCTTTATTTTGATTGTGACCTGGTAATCTGATACCTTTTATTTTTCTGGTTCATTGGGTGTTCTTTTGTCAAATAGAGAATGAGAGCTCAAGATTGTCTTCGCAGGAAAGAGAGGCAGAGAAAGGGAGTTCGTGAATAGTGTGAGTGCTCGATTTAGGTGGATTGAAACTTAGTTGGATTGAAGTTGACAATGATGGTTTGTCCACAACCTCTGAAGAAATCCAGATTGTGATGCTCAAGTTTATGCCATCAGTTTATCTAAATCCCACGTCTACGAAGACGTGTGAAGAAACCGTGGTCAGAGCGTTGTTGCCATCTCATTCATGTTTCAAGAAATTTAGAGCTTTTGCATTCGTTTCTTCCACAAAGTCTAACTTAAGCATCTGAAGGTTTTTGGCTCACAACACACTGATATGGCAAGGTTTTACTTATATTGTTATTTCTTAACTTCAAGTTGCAACAATATTAGAGTAATTATACGTTTGTGTGAAATTCGTTTCCCGTTGCGGATATAAAAAAATAATATCGATTGTTCTTTTATGCAAAAAAAGAAGGATTTAAGTTGACTGAATTATTGCCACTTAGTACTATAATCGAGTGATATTCCTCTTCACTTGTAAGTGACAGGTCTTAGGTTCGGTTCTCACCAAAGGCAAACATAAACCATATTATTGCTAACCCATTATGAGACTAAGCCATCCTCCACCCCCCTCTTAGTATAAATAGTATTGTTTGTTAAAAAAAAAAAAGTTGACTAAATTATTGGAACAAGAAAAGGGGTTTTTATCACAAATGATCCCTTAAATTGACCTATACATCAAGATGGCCCCTTAAATGAAAAATCGATCAATGCAGTTCCTGAAAAGGGTAAATTGTCGTTTGACACCCTGAACTATTAGTCTTGCTGAAATTGACCCCCTGAACTATAATTAACCCACTAAATTATTTGAATAAGTCAATTAACCCCTTGTCGTTAGATTTTGTCCACTATTCTGTCAAATTCAAGGGCAAAATAGTCTTTTTATTATCAATTCTTACATGTCACTTATAACCACCAATAAAATTATGACATGTTGACATGTGAAATGGTCTGTTGCAAACATTTGGTTTCTTTATGTTTCTTATTATGCTATAAATTTTTGAATTATTTTGTATCCCCGTGTCATTATTTAATTGGTGGTTATAACTGACAGGTAAGAATTGATGATAAAAATATTAATTTGCCCTTGAATTTGATGGAATAGTGGACGGAATCTACAATAAGGGATTAATTGGCTGATTTTAAACAATTCAGGGGGTTAATTTACCAAAAAAATAGTTCATGGGGTCAATTTCAACTAGGGTATTAGTTTAGGGGGTCAAACCGTAGTTTACCCTCCTGAAAATAAGTGTTGCAAATCAATATGGTCATTCCATTACAATTCTGTAAAAAAAATTGTTATACATTGATGTAACACATAAATGAGTCCCACAAGATATTACGGGTTTTTATCACAAATGGTCTCTGAAATTAAAAAATCAATCAATGTAGTCCTAGAAATAAGTGTCACAAATAAATATGATCGTTTCGTCATAATTTTATCAAAAATTTTGTTATGTGCTGATGTGGATTTAATAATTAATTAAAAAAGTTGTCAAAATCCTTTTTGTACGATGGAATTATCTCAAGGCTGAGCTCGCCATTTTCTGCGTCACCAACATCACTGGGGGAGCACCCAACAAGCTCTCCAAGATTAAGGTTGTGTGGCTGTCAATTGCCTAATGTTAATAGTAATGTCACAGAATTCGTTGCTAATCCAAGCCATCACCAAAGGTGGTCTCGACTGGTCTAATTCGGTGAAAGGTATAAAGATGGGTGTCTTGACAATTTTTTTTTTTTTTAGAGAATAGACGACGAATGTTACCAAAGAAGGATGTAGAGAAGTATGGGTTGGGATCGGTGTGATTGTGGGATTGGGTTTCTGGGTTGACAACTTTTTTAATTAATTATAAAACATGTTTCTTGCTTATTTTTAATTTAATTAGACTTGTAAGACTCATTTATGTTCACATCTGTACATAAAAGAATATTTGACAGAATTGTAACAGAAAGACCACGTTGATTTGAGTCTTTGAGACACTTATTTCTAGGATTACATTGATCGATTTTCAATTTCAGAAGTCATTTTGATGGTGGAGATCAATTTTAAGGACCATTTGTGATAAGAAAATGATTAAGGAGCCCATTACGTGCCACATTAGCACATAACATAATTTTTGACATAATTGTGGCAGAATGATCACATTGATTTGAGAAACCTATTTTCAGGGATTACATTGATCGATTTTTAATTTTGAGAGCCATCTTAATAGTGTAGATCAATTTCAAAGACTATTTATGAAATTAAAAAATTAAAAAAAAAAACAAAGTCGGATGCAGTTCACAACCCTACACAGCGCCACACTCTATCAACTCTCTCTATTGCATTTAAACCCCGCCTAAACCCCATCTTAGATCCTTAATCTCCTATCTCTCTCTCTCTCTCTCTCTCTCTCTCTCTTCCTCCTACTCTCCTTCCTGACTTACTGACACTGCAAGGTATCATCCCTAATTCCCTATAGAGGAATATAATAGAATAGAAGAAAAGAGTAGTAAATTAAAACTGTTTCTCTCTCTCTCTCTGTGCAGCTTTCTGTTCCTGTAATTTAGGGCGTCGTATGAGCCTGGCACCACCAGATCTTTTCTTCCCCAATTTCAATGGCCAGCACTACTACTCACATTAGCAACGGCGAACACGAACCGCCGACGAAGCCGCCCGCATTCACCTCCTCATCTTCCTTCAGGGCTCGCAAGAAGACCAATTATTCCGCCGGAATCTCCCGTGCCGCCTCCGATGTCGATGACATCGTCACTCTCATGCACGGCTCCGATCCAGTCCGTGTTGAGCTCAACCGCCTCGAAAATGACCTCCGAGGTATGCATCTCTTCTCTCCATTTTCCCGGAAAATTTGAACTCAGCATTTTTTTTCATCTCATCGAATTCAAATTCGTTTCATCTTTTGGATAAATGAATGGACTTCTTCCGTGCTAAATTTCGAAGTTTGCATTTGCTAGCTAAGGAGAACGGATAAATCAAATTTAATTATATTCCTAAAAATACATTTCTTAATTTTAATTAAATTTCCCTTCATGTAGTATATAATAATTGATTAAATTCTTTATCAAAAACAAAAACTGATGAAATGGAAGTGGAATTACACAGATAAAGACAGGGAGTTGGGAGATGCTGTGGCGGAAATTAAGTCTTTAAGAAATTCAGAGCGCCTTAAAGAAAAGGCGGTTGAAGAGGTACTCTATTTGTTTTGTGCTCCCACTTATCAGTAATTTCATCGCATTTTTCTTCTTTCGTCATTAGCGATCGGATTCTTTGTTTTCTTTTTTTTTTTTTTTTTTTTTTTTAATTTTATTTTATACCAGTTTGCATAATCAAAGAAAGGAATATTACTGTTGCTTAGTGGTATATTCAACACATACTAGAATATATGAATGAGACAGATTTTCAGACAACTAACTCGTTTGTAAGTTGCTTCTTGTAAGTTCTTACTAACAATGTTTGTAGTTTGTACATGTTCTGTTGATGAAACGGTAATTTTGGACTTAATCAATCTATGCTTAAGAAATTACGAAGGAATGGGAGACCATAAAAATATTGTTATATAAAAACTGTATTCTAGTTCTTTTTAACTAGTGCAAATTATTTAGTACGTGTATGTCGTTTGTGTTAAGTGCGACTTCATTCTGACCGACTAGTTCTGAGTCTGGTTACTGTAATTGTGCAATGTTGTTCGATATCCATAAACATGAATATGTGTGTAAGTTGGATTTCTGTGCAAAAAATATGAGATGTGATAGTCTTCGATGCTAATCTTAAAAGTTGAAATCTTCAGTCTACAATTTTATCTAGCGTTTATTGGTTTTTACCTTTGTTAACTTTTCTGGAAGTATTGCTGTTTGACTAATGTTATTTTTCTGTTCTAACATTGTGTTATCTGCCACTTAGTACTACGGTCTAGTGGTATTCCTCTTCACTTGCAAGTGAGATATCTTATGTTCGATTCTTGCCAAAGGAGAATTTGAATCACATTATTGCTAACCTATTATGAGACTTTTAGCCCACTCCCCCAACCCCTTAGCATAGATAATATCGTTTGTTCAAAAAAAAAAAAAAACATTGTGTTATCTAGAACTTTCAAGGTAATGTACTTAACATTGTGGATGGATGTTTTTGAGCCTCTAACGTTTGTCTTTTGATGTAACTTTCGTTTGTTGCAACTTATCTATGCTTTATTTCTTTATATGGTGATCATGACAACATTTTATTCAGCCCGCTTTCACTAGACAAACCTGTGGATGATTAGAACACCTGCCTTTTGCTACATATACATGGCGTAAGCTTTCTAGTTAAAAACCTATAGTTTTAGTTTTAGCCACGGTGATAAAAATGTGAGTATAAAAGAACCTGAAATGTAATAGGTTTAATGTATTTTCTACTGACAGTGAGTAGTTAATTTTGAAAATATCCCTGCCTATCCACTTGAATTAGATATTATTCATAAAAATTTAATAAAAGAACTCCTTAACTGCATAATCTTAGTCTTTTTGTTAATCTCAGTTTTGTTCTGTTCAATATTTATTGATGTCTTCTTCTCAATGATATGATTATAGATTACAAAACTATCAAAATTCTTTATCTTGTTAAGGAACAATTTTTTAGATGCAGACTAGAACGAACAGTGAGTGAGATGTCCATGAGAATCAGGTTACAAGAATGAAACTAATAAAAATCTAACGTAGCTACAAAGCAAAACTTAATCAGCAACTTTATCTTAAAGCTGCTTTTCAATCTAGAAAAGATATCAAGATTATTAAAAATCATGTTAAATTTTATTTGTCAATATCTTACTCTTTTCAATAACCATTGTCTGGGATTGACCAGCAAGTTTTATTTGATGCTTGATAAGATCCAGTAGTTAGCCAAGTCTTTTATCTGTCAATAATATATGGAGTCCTGAATTTTTTTAGAAGATATTTTGAGAGATCAATTAATAGTATAAGTTATTGTAGTATTTACTCTCTTTAATGATACTGAATCATGGTACGGAGAAACCTTGAGGTTCGTTTTATGTCGATGAGAGAAAGCTTTGAGTTCTTTTTTCTTTTTCGATAAGGAGAAAATTTCAAGTTCAATTAAAAATGGGAATTTCTGATAATTTTTTTGTTGGTTAATAATTTCAGTTGACAGATGAACTTAACAAAGTGGATGAAAAGCTTAAAGCAACTGAAGCTCTTTTGGAAAGCAAGGTAATAATTGTAGTTTCCTTTGCTGCCTGATTGTATTGTCTTCTGTAACCAACATTGAACTTTTCTGCTTGCGATATACTGAGTACACTATGATTTGCAGAATCTTGAGATTAAGAAAATAAATGATGAGAAAAAAGCAGCTTTGGCTGCGCAATTTGCAGCAGAAGCCACACTTCGAAGAGTTCACGCTGCACAGAAAGATGATGAAATGCCACCCATTGAAGCCATCATTGCTCCACTGGAGGCAGAGCTTAAGCTTGCTAGGCAGGAGGTATACTTTCGTTCTGCAATATGACCCCTTTAATTTTGTTTTAAAGACAGATAGGGTTGAAAAACTTTTAGTATTTTCCTGTCAGTTTTGAGTGTCTATTTTTGCTTCCATATTTGGTTTGTACATGTGAGGTATAGAGTGTTCAATACGTATTTGGTTTCTATATTGTTAATTGATCTATTGACTCCTTTATTTATAAGGATTAATAATTAAAACGAGCTATATTTTTTTATACTTCTGGATGTATTGTTTTTTTAGGTAACCAAGTTGCAGGATGACAACAGAGCACTTGATCGGCTTACTAAATCCAAAGAGGCTGCTCTGCTTGACACCGAGAGAACTGTTCAGATTGCTTTGGCAAAAGCATCCTTGGTTGACGATCTGCAAAACAAAAACCAAGAGCTAATGAAACAGATTGAAATATGCCAGGTTTGTATGGTGTTCAGAGTTTTCCTGCTGCATGCAATTTGTGTGATCGAGGGAATGTACCAGGGGTGTTTACTACTGTTGGGCACCATTTTACATAATATGAATTTATCCATTATCAGGAGGAGAACAAGATACTTGACAAAATGCACAGACAGAAGGTAGCTGAGGTTGAGAAGCTGACACAAACTGTTCGAGAACTTGAGGAGGCTGTTTTAGCCGGTGGAGCTGCTGCCAATGCTGTGCGTGATTACCAGCGGAAAGTGCAGGAGATGAATGTAATAACCATTTCTTGGAACTCCAGTACTTGCTTATCACTTTGTAGTTGTTCTGAGTCTGTCACAAATGCAAACTTCCTCTAACATTCAAGCTTGCGTAGGAGGAGAAAAAACTATTGGAGCGGGAGGTGGCTCGTGCAAAGGTCTCTGCAAATCGGGTTGCCACTGTTGTTGCAAATGACTGGAAAGACTCCAGTGACAAAGTCATGCCCGTAAAGCAATGGCTTGAAGAAAGGAAATTTTTTCAGGCATGTTATGACTTCAATACGTAACCTCATCATCTTTGCCTACAATTCCTTTAATTTACACAAATAGTCATTTGGTTTCATCATCACAAATTGCATCCTTAACCCAAGGGGTTGTCCTTATGATGGGGGGGCTTAGGTGCTTCATGAAGCATTATCTCAAGTATGAATCCCGCCACAACCTCTTCGATATCCATCCACAAGGATTTAACAGGGTAATTGCTGCGTCATGTTGGATGAGGCAACTGCATACCTGCATAGGGATTAGCAATTAACATATGAAACATATGATTCATTACCCAAAAAGAAAAGAATGAATTGGAAATTTTTTCATTGAATCTTTTATAATATTCAAGTGTTAATGATCATCTTAGTATTCATGTGCATGTTAACCGAAGAGGTTTAATATATAGAACTATCACCTCATACCATAGATGACCTGCAATGATTATTGTTGACCTTTTGCTAAGATGCATGGTGATAGAGAAGCATAAATTACCAGGAAAGGGGAAAAAAAGCCAGACTCTTTCGGGTGTATAGTTTGGGCTTCGGTTTCTTCAGATTTAAAGGATTTACCTTGTTTAGTCCTTTGGTTTAGGGGGACTTTCCTGTTGTCTTGGTTGGTTGTTTTTGTTTTCATTGTGGACTTCTTGTCCACTTGTGTATAAATCTGGATTCTGGATATATATGTGTGTGTGCACATGCTGGTATTCTGAGATGGTTTATTTTCCTTCAAAAGATGGGGAGAAAAGTGAAAACAAATAATGAAATGAACAGTTAGTTGAGATCTAAATTGACTTCCTTTTTTTGTTGTTGTAGGGAGAAATGCAACAGCTTAGAGACAAACTGGCTGTAGCTGAGCGTACTGCAAAGGCAGAAGCACAATTGAAGGTATGCTAACTATTTGAGTTTGGTCTGTGCTTACATTTTATGTTACTCTCATCTGTAATGTGTTAAATCCTTTTCATAATAGTTGATTATTTATTGATTTCTTAGGAAAAATACCAATTAAGGTTTAAGGTTTTGGAGGATAAGTTAAAAGCATCTAATGGGAAATCGCGTGCGGCTCCAGATGCAAAAATCATAAGCAACAGGCCTTCAAGGCGTCAGTCTCTTGGTGGAGCTGAGAACATTTCTAAATCGTCCTCTAATGGCTATCTATCTAGGACAAAATCAAACTTACAATCTGTTTTCAACCGTTCCAACAGTGCCACTGCAATATTGAAACAAGCCACAGTTTCATCTAGATCGTTTGATGGTGGTAGTAGATTGCTAGACAGAGATAAGCTAATCCCAGATGCAACCGGGAAAGACTGCATGCCTAACAGTGCCAATGATCAGACTCGGATGAATGAGGTAGTAGGTAGACATGAGGAGAGCTCAAATGGAACTTTGGCTGAACAGTCCAGGAGAGAACATGAAGATTATGTTTCTGGAGTACTGTATGATATGTTACAGAAAGAGGTCGTATCTTTGAGGAAAGCTTGCCATGAGAAAGATCAAACCCTCAAAGACAAGGATGATGCAATTGAGGTTAGATAGTAGGATATATCTCGTTAATTTTGCAACCACTTCCCACTTTTGTGTTTTTCTTAATTTGTTTCTGGTGTAGATGTTGGCAAAGAAGGTGGATACACTTAACAAAGCAATGGAGGTCGAGGCCAAAAAGATGCGGAGAGAAGTAGCTGCAATGGAAAAAGAAGTCTCTTCTATGCGTGTCACTAAGGAGCATGATCAGCGGACACGGCGCTTAAGTGCTCCCCGGGGGGTAGTAAATAGTTCTCATACACTTTCTTCAAGGTAAGTAGTCGTGTACAATCTAAAATGGCCTAACAATGATGCAATAGTTGGTGCAGCGAGTCTGTCTTTCCTGTTCATGATCAGTTCTTAGACGGCATAAAATGAAACAAAAAATGCATGGTGCCTCAAGTTGATTGAAAACTTTTAGATACCACCAGTCGAAAAATATTAATCCACCTGACCAAAGGTTTTGCTTCTTTCAGAAATGCGCACAGGTCATAGGTACATGGCCATGACAGAATCACCACATCGTGGACGCTTCTGTGATTCTTCAGCACTGCAGTCACTAGAATGTATGGTTTTGTCATGATTTTCCTCTCCCGTCTCCGTCTATTTAAGTTGTCTTGGCCGCCGGGTAGGCAATTTGTAAAGAACTGACTTCAGGTTTTTCAGGTCAACCTGCCTTGTATATTTCTTTTCTACTAATATTTCCTGGAAATACCAACTTTGGAAAAAAGTTTCAAAAGAGATGAGGTTTTGTTAGAATCTTCTTTCAAGGAAACTGAAGGCAACATAAAACTCGTGTATGCCTAATGCCTTCAAAAATCAGACCCAAGGGATCGGTTTACTAGAAAGTGAGCAATGTTTGAAATTTTCAATTCGAGTTCAAACGCTCACGGATGCATTTCTTGGGGCCATGGGCTCAACTTTGGCACACGCTTTCATTTGGGAGCCAAACGTATGTTTTCGCCTCGTGGTACTCTTGAATGTTTGGTGATCGTCTTCAAATGTTTGCGTGGAAAACAAAATAAGTTGGCTGATTGAGTTCTCTCTGAAGGATTTGGTAAATTAATTGGAATTTCACATTAAGGTCCTTTAGTTGTTTTTTTAACATTAGGGTGAGGCTTGGTGCAACGGAAAAGTTGCTCTTTTATAACCAAAAAGTACGGGTTTGAGTTGTGAAAAAAAAAAACCTATTTGCAAAGTAAGAGTAAGCTTGTGTACGATAGATGTTCCCTTCTAACACTCACAAAGCGGAGAATCTTGTTGGTTAGGAGTCGCCCTTTAGTTGTTTTTTTAACTTGAGTGATGTTCTAATATAATCTAATCAACTACTTTGGGAAATCCCTCGTTTATGAGTTGGGTAACAAGGACGGAGTCTGGATCAGGAAATGATGAGGAGGAAATATTTGTTTTCTTTTCTTTATTACACTAATAATGAGGGAACTGTTTGAACTCGGAACGCAGTGTCACACCTCAAATGCACGATCCATAAAGTATTGGAATATGATCCAGTGCTCTACATACCCAATTCCACAATTGATTATCATTCTCCGAATGTTGGAATTCATTCCGATGATAAAACGTCTATCTTTTCGTTGAGGAGTGTTGATTGATGTGATATAAAATAACACACAAATTAAACCCTATAATTGTAGTATGTGTAAGTAGGGATCGTTCCAGATCGGGGATTAGAAATGATGCTAATCTACACAATTTAAACTCTAAAACACTAAACTAAACTCAAAAACAGAAAACTAGACTCTTAACAACTCAAGATAAGCTAAACAGACTCAAAACACACAAACTAAGTTAAATTGACTCAAAACAGGTACTAGAAAGTGATTTGGATGAAAATTAAACTAAAAAGACTCAAAATACTAAATGGGGACAAATTCTGACGAATTTAGACTAAACTAACACAAATAAGAACTAAGGGGGTATTTGGACAAATTTTAAACTTAAAACAAACAAACTTGTAGAAACAAAGTAAAAGGGTACGAATTTGGGTGAATGAATGGGTGAAAGGCTAGCTAGAGGGTCCTTCTCCACACATGACACGTATGCAACATAAATCGATTTCCAGTTATTATTCCTTTAAACCATGAATGACAATGCCCCAAATTAATCGTGAGAAGCACAAATTAACTTTTAGATTTTCCTAAATTCATTGAATTGGACTCAGTGACGCAATCAAATTATTCTTATCAAGTTCCCTATATGAACTGCATGATAGAGATACATATCAAAGATCATTAAGTTCTATGAAAATCATAAGCATTGACAAGGTATTCGTAACTATGAACTGCACAATACTCTTGCCCAGAATTTACTTAACACAATCATGACTAGTGACTTTTACTACTTGTAAGTATAAGTTCATAACGATTAGGTCAAATTCCCTTATATTTTAGCATCAAATTCATGCATGCAAACTAAGTATGCATCCTTAATCAACATACAAGAATAAGTTCTCAATAAATCAGTTAAGTAAATTGCATTCATGTTTTACAAAACAATAACTGGAGGAAATCAATTCATATAAAATATATGTCCATGGCTTTGAATTTGCCTCTAACTAAAAAGAATTTAGTTCCACATGTTCATCATAATTGAAACCAAATTAAAATAAACATCGAACTAAAACTACCCAGAAATGCTCCAACACTCCAAAGTAGGTAGCGGCACTCTCTTGGATGGCACGGCATTCTTCCTCTCCTTCCTTCCTTTCACGGCACAAGTCTCTAAAAACTCTCAGAAACCTGCGGCACACTCTTCGTATTTTTTTTTAATTTCTCTCATGTGTGTCGTATGAATTATGCGGCAGAAATATGTATATACAGTCCTAGGGTTATGCACAATTTCTGAAGGGAAAAAGATTGCACAATCCTAGGGGGAAAAGGTTAGGGTTACACAACAGAGAATGGGCCATCTAGAAGGAATGGGTGCGGCATAGAAATAGGACCAGATAAAGCCTTCTAGAAAGGGTATTATGGTAAGTTTCTAGAAGGACAAGGGATAAAGGGTGTGGCACCAATGTAGGAGAAGGATAGGGCTTCTAGAACCATATATTTAGGTGAATTAATCTGAAAAGGAGTCCCCTTTGCAGCTGGAATCAAGGTAGGAAAAGATTAGGAAAGGATAAGATAAGATAAGGTAATTTGGATAATGTTTCCTTCTTTATAGCTGAATCCTTATGTTCCAGGCTTCCAAATTTGTTTCTCCAGATATTAAGCACATTCCTAGCCTCTCTTGAACTTCAAATTTGTCCATCCACCTTGCTCCATATGCAAGCTATCCATTCCAGCCCAAAATTGCTCAAAAATGCACCAAAATGCACTTTCTTGCCTCTTTTGCCATTTAAACCTACAAACACACAAAAATAACTTAAATCACTATAATAAATAGAAACTAACTTACTAAATGCAAAGAAACAAGCTAACAAAGTTGCACAAATATGCTCCTATCAAATTCCCCCACACTTAGCTTTTGCTAGTCCCCGAGCAAAACAAAACAAACAAAACACAACCTAAACCTTCCAACAATTGCCTTAGGGATTTCCAATGAAACATGACATGTTAAAAATCACTACTCCCACAGATTTTAGCTATCCTTACTCTTGAGCATACACTTAACCGTAGTCAATACTCACTAGCTCGCATTTAATCAATTAAAACAACATTCTGAATGTAGTAACATGCCTTAGAGAATTCACTCAATTCCTCACCAGATACACTCCTTTATTTTCACACAGATTTTCTAACTACACTCCCTACAATAAGTATATGTGAGAAGATTGATATAAACATGTAGACTAGCACTCACATATGTTATAACAAAGAAGGCACTTTCTGGAATTATTAATACAACATGTATATGATCTCATAAATGGAATGTCACTACTTAGACGCGAGAACTAGGGATACTATATGCTCGTACCAATTTTAAACTCCACATATTGAAACACATAACAATCAAGATAGAAGTCTAAGGGTTGTAACGGGCTAAGGTATTGGCTAACAAGGAAAGGTAAGGATAAACAAAAGTTCTTAAAGCGATAGTAAGCAAAGTAATGAAATAAACACTTAGAATTTACTTTTGAATGCAGAAATCAACTTTAAACGGCCAAGGGAGATTCACACCACTTAAGGCCAGATTCAACTTTTTGGACCCTTTCTTCAATAACCAATACTTGTGAGTTCATTCTCACTTATTTTCAACTCTTTTTCTTTCTTTTCTTCACTTTTTCTTTTCCGTGCCCTTTTCTTTGTTTGGCACACAAACATACAACCTCATAAAATTACAACGAAAAACCTTCCCCCACACTTGTTTTTCTGCAAATTGTAGATCAAAAGGAATTCCTCTAAGTCATGCTTCACTATTCTTTAAGAACAAGGGTATGGATAGTCCTATTCTAGGCTAGGTAAGGATAATGTGGCTAACAAAGAAAATTAGGCTAACTGAGGTTCAAAGGGGTTAAACCTACAATACAAATGCAAAGGGTAAGGCTTTTTGGCTCTGGTTTTAACTAAACAACTTCATCTTGTTATATGTTATGCAATCAATTTTATGCTTTGGATGAAATGGGCATGAGTTCTAGTATTTGGATCTATAGTGATGAAATGCATTCTAAGTAGCAACCAAGCAAAGAAATAATGAGATCATGCAACAACTTTAGAAAACAAAAACATCTCAAATTAATATCTCTCCAAATAAAGTATAGGCTCAAGTCTCTCAGGGCTGTAGCGTTAGTTTGAGTTTCTTCCTTCAAGCATGTTACAAAAACTGATTTTTCCTTTGTGATTACATGTGAATTCGTTAATAACAACTACAACTAAGCATAAACCAAAGAGCATATCAAACTTCCACCCATGTTTGTAACTTTCTTTAACAGTCATGCAATTAAAAACCAAATCTTCATCATTGTGTTGGATGGTATCCTAAGACACAACACACAAAAACAAAAACAATTCTAAAAACAACTCTTTTTGGGTTTTTCAAACACTCTTTTGCGATTTTTTTTTTAAATTTTTGGATTTTATGTTATAGGACACATTAAAACACTTCAAAACACAATAAAAACACTTAAAAACTTTGAGTAACAACTTTAGAAGTGATAGGTGATAAAATCCCACGAAAATCAATGCACAATCGTTTGTTTACCCCCCCCCCCCAAACATTTAAACCAAACATTGTCCTCAATGTTTCAAACATAGCCTTACAAATAAATAATCAAATAACACAACTAACAAACACGACAATCATGGCAAAGTAGAAGCAATAAAGAGTAGGGTTTAGGAACGCAAATCTGGTTGTGGAGCAGAAGATTCCTAGGTCTCTTTTATTTGAACCCATGAGTTGCCTCCCAATAAGTGCTTGCTTTAACGTCTTCCAGCCGAACGATAACTCCTTTTAAGCTTCAATAAGGCCCACGACATGGAAGGGTATTTCCTCCACGACCTGCTCCTCGAAATTCTTGTAGTAGGGCTTCAAACGGTGTCCGTTTACTTTGAATTCATGTCTCGTCTTCAAACTTTGAATTTGGACTACACCATAAGGAAAAACATTAGTAACAACAAAGGGGCCAATCCATTTAGAATGCAACTTACCCGGAAACAAACGAAGGCGAGAATTGAAAAGTAACACTTTCTGCCGTATAGAGAACGTCTTGCTACGAATCATCTTGTCATGGAAGGCCTTCATTTTCTCTTTGTAAATGCGAGCGTTCTCATAAGCTTCATTCCTAA